TCTTCTTCAATAAATGCTCGATGTTCAAGATCATTTAAAGAAGATTCTTCTTCTTCATCATCATCTTCATCAGAATCTTCCTTTTCAAGAATACAAAGAAAATTCATTTTTTTTTTTGTAAATAAAAATATAATTTATTTTCTAATTTCAATTACTTCCTCATTTTCATCACGTCGTGTTTTAGTAATAGATAATGAAATTGTTGAATCTTCATCATCACCACCTCCAGTTCCATCATCATGTACTGTTAACATATGATCAGTAAGTACGGTAAAACGAGATCGATTTCTATGCGATGGAGAAGTCACACAAATTGGACACATCTATGAATAAAATTCAACAAAAAGAAAAAATCAAAACGATTTTCTTTTCTCATCTCATCAACTAATTACAAAGAAAAACCCAAACTATTTGTACAAGCCCTACAGTATTAAAATGTGAAACACGATGTAGCTGTTCTTGCTAACCGCAGAAAGATTGTTTTATTCTATCTATTTTGAGATATATTTCTTCACCATCCTCTTTTACTTAATTCTTCACAAATGTAATAAGGAAGTCGTTCATTTAATTTAATAAAACATTATTGATATATGATCTTTGATTGTGTATCAACAACATCTGTCATTAACATTTATCATGATTTTTGGTAAATAACAATGTCGACTCTATATGCTTCAACACTCCTTTTAGATCGTATTTCACAAAACAGTTTTTTTTTGTTTTTCAAATAAATTGATAATTAATCTATTTATATGAGAAATAATCAAGGTCTTACATACAACAGCCGGGGTATTTTTTGTTTGTGGTGATGTTGATGGATGTTTCTCCACACAATGCATAAGTAATGTTCGTGAAATAAAACCAGCTAAACCACAATGTGGACATGTTAATGAAACAACACTTCGACGAGGAATTGTTTCACCTGCATAGAATAATTCTAAAATAAAATTCATATGAACATATTCATATAAAATTAATTATGATTAATAATTAACCACAAGCTGTTTCAGTTAATATACATTGCATTGGATGATCATTTTTATGATTTTGACTTTCAGCTTCAAGATCATAACATGAACCACATAGATCATAATTATCACATAGTAAACATTTATAACGACGACCAGGAAAATTTGTTCTCATACATGCATCACATGAAACACCTAGATGAATAAGAAAAAAAAAATAAATATGAAAATTTCCTTGTTTGTTTGTTGATTCCAATTAATCATATGTTTTATTACCAGTATGTAAAGACATTCTTTTAAAATCTAGAAATACATTGAAGATTAATATTTAATAAAGAAATTAAAACCAACGAACAGAGACATTTATTACAGAGAAAAAAATAGAATGATAAGTTATATTAAATGGACTAGATTGATTTTCAAAAAGAAAAAGATATAATGAAAATACTGTTTTAAACATGTTCATAATCCTGATCATGTTTAGATGTTGTGGTTGTATTATCAGCAAGAAATGATTCAAGATCATCATCATCATTAGTATTTGCAATTGGTGATTCAGTAGTAGTAATCGAATTATTTGTTTTAGTTGATGAAGGTTTCTTTTTTTTCTTTGTTTTTGTTGATTCAGTCGTTGAAACATTTGTTTCCTTATAAATAAATGAAGTAGAAATTTCTTTTCGTTTTTTTTTTCTTTTAGAAATTATTATAAATCTAACTTTTTTCGATTTCGTTGTTGTTTTCTTCTTTTTTGATTTTGTTGATGGTGAATCACTATGAGTACTTTGTGAATCTAGAAAATAATAAATTTTAATCAATTAGCTCTTTAAATACTAAAATCATACCAGGTATTTGTAATTCGTTGTTCGACTGTTGAGCTTTTGATGAAGATAGTTGATCAAGATAATCAAGATCAAATGATGATATTTGATGATATACAGGAGGTAGTATTGGTTGAGTAACCTATTAAACAGTATTATTAATGATTTATTTACAGGATAGTTCAACTGTCATTAGACAGTTTTTAATTGCAAATAGCTTCGGACAGAAACAAAAACCAGAGCTGTAGTTTTCACTAATGAAAAGAGGAGGCTTGAAAGCATCGAATCATATATTAAACATAATACTTAAAAAAACATTTTTAGGAGTATCGAAAAGCTCCAAATTTTTAGAAAACCGAGGTTTTCGAAATCAATTTGTTTGATCTTGGCTTTCTACAAAAACTATCTGGCGACTTTTGAACCACCCTGTATAATAAAAATCATATAATATATTTACAATTTCGACTGTTGATGATGCTGGTTCATATTCAGTTGGTTCATTAGTACTGTAATTTTTAAATAAAATTATATTTATTTAGTTTTTCATTAAAAAAGCATACGTAATTGGTGGTTGATGTTGTTCATCATCGGAATCTAATTGTTCACGAAATCCTTTAACCATGGGATTTACTGTAAATTCATTTTCACTATTGAAAGAAAAATAAGATAAAAGAATATTTTTGAAAATAAATCAAATAAAAAATAACTAACTCATCTGTTGTTGAAAGTTTTGTTGTTGAAGATTTAGTTAATGTATCAATTGATAAATTTTGTTGTTGTTGAGATGTTGTATTATCATCGACAAGAAATGTTTCATAATCATTATCATCAGGTATAAAATCATCAACAGTTGATCTTACTAATGGATTTGCTGAATGTGTTTCTGTATAATCATCTGATAAACGATGTTTATCAACAATAATATCATTAACTTCATTATTAATAGTTGATTTTGGAACAACTAAAAAAATATATATATTTATATAGAATAAAAAATTTTCATATGATTTACCTTGTTGAACAATAGGTTGAACAGCAACAATAGGTGGTTTTTGTTTTGTTGTTGGTGTTGGTTTAATAGATGCTGGTGGAGTTTCAGTTGTTTTTTTAATAACTTGTACAATCGTATTTATTGATGATGGTTTTGTTTGTTGTTGTTGTTCAGCTAATGCTGCTACTTCAAGTGCTTCATCATGAATACGTTTTGCTTCTTCTAATGGTTTTGCTTTAGCTACAATATCACCAGCAAGTGCTTCTTGTTTCGAACGACGTTTATTAGCAAGCATATCAATAAATAAATCATAATTATTATCTGCACTACGAGCGTATGTATCGATTTCTTCCAAGGAGGTATCCATATCACGTGCATTTATTTGTAATTGTTGAAGTAAACATTCACGTTGTAACTGTAAAAATGGAATATTTAAAAATTGATGTATATATTGTAAACCAAATCCATTACGCATTGAACTTTCACAATAACGAACAACTGAACCCATTGTACCTCTTCAAAGAAGAAAAATAAAATTTCGAATATTTATTTTGAAAACAACAAACAGTAGGCGACGGAACGTTTTCAATTTAGAGTAGATTTTACAAATTTTATAAGATCGCCACTAAGAAATTAAGAATAGAGAGGACGGAGGAGAGATATATCATTCTATAGTATTTAGATGAAGTATATTTAGTGCTTTTTCCCAACGCAAATTTGTTCCCGTATAAAGTTAGTAAGATTCAGAAAAATATCGCATCTTGCATAAGGAAATGTATACTTGAAGAAGCACATCAACATCTGTTTTTAATTAATTTTAATTCCCGAAAAAAGAGTTTTTGATCTGCTTCATTGGGAAAAAAGTATAATAATGCTACAGCAACATATTTACAAAAAAAAACAAGAAATTTCCCAATGAATTTGCTCAGTATTTTGACAATGCTGTAGGCTTAGCAATTGAAAGCGAAGGCAAGTTTCGATAACTTATAGTTTATCGAACTCGGGTTTCTAATATAAGTTTTCTGTAGATCTACTGTATACATCTATCAACCTAATGGAATGAGCGATATATTTTTGAGTCTATGATACATAAATCTAAAGGCGACTTTAGTCTATGCAAACCCCATGGCTTCATCACCTATGAAACACACACTAACCTGTCAAAATTTTCAATAAAATTCAGACATTTATCCATTGATACTTTTCGATGATGACGCATATCTAATTGATTTCCAATAATTAATATTGGTATATGTGCTGGTACTTTAACAATTTCTCTTTCAATATAATCCCATGTCCATGGTTTTGTTATATCATAAATAAATAAAACACCAGCTGTACTTTTGTAAACATCAAGAAATTCAGCATCAAGTGATACATCAGCAACAGGAACATTTATTGCATTTGATAATTTAAGTGATGGATTAATTGGACGTCGTTTTTTTCTTGATTTATCAACAACATCCCATACTTCAACTTTAATAATTGCATCTTCACATACACGTGATGACCAATTTATTGTTGCAACACGAATTTCATCTGATGGAATGTAATCTTCAATAAATTGACAACCTTGTAAACGAGACCATAAGACTGATTTGCCTGTATTACATTCACCTCGTATGACTAATTTCACTATTAAAAATTGAGAATATATTTTACAAACAAAAAAACCTGAATAGCCTGAAGTACAAGCATGTCTTACTGTTATACTGTACACCTCGGGCATATTTTTTTTGTAATCCTTGACTAAGTGGTTTGAAGTTTTCATTTGATTTTGATGTTGACACTGTTGAATTCGATCCATTAGAATTTGTTGATGTATGATTTATATTTGTGACATTATCTGGTATCGATTGATTAGCATCATTAATTGTTGTTACACTTGTTGATGATGAATCGTTTGTTGTAATCAAACGTTTTAATGCTTGTACAAATGACATCTATTATAGATATATATAGTTTGAAATAGATTTTGATAAGACTGTCTTTTTTTCTTTTTCTTTTATTTTTGTACTTTATTTAATGTTTTTTTATTCTCATCTCGTGTGAAATAGAAAAAGATCATCAATGGCTAATGGTGAATCATAGAAACGTAAGCAATGCTGTCAAATAGTGTTGAAGAAAATAGATGGAGATAGTTAGCAACAAAACAGTTTTGTTCGTAATAAAATACTCATTTTATTTTAAATTGTAAATTTGCACAAAAAAAAAATTTCACTTTTAGAAATATAATCTATGATAGAATTTTCGTCGTAATCGAAGATAATAAGGACGTGAATATACTGGTGATCTTCGTCGTACAGCGCGATAATAAGGATGTACATGAATATGTCGATTTCTTGGATTCATAGCATTTGCAAAAGCATTAACAATCGGAATTTGAGCGAATAATCGGTCAAATCCATTAGACATCATATTTAATATTTGTCCACCATATGACATAGAATTTTGAAGATATGTTAAAAACTGTGGCATATATTGTTGTTGATTTCGTTGATATGATTCATATAATTTTAGTTGTGACCAAAACCCAGCATTAGGTAAAGCTAAGTGTCGTTTGGATTTCACAATTGAATATGCTTTTTGTAATGGTAGACGATGATGTTTTATAAGGTAAGCTAACAGAAATGTTATTGAACGTGATCGTCCGTGATGACAATATAAAAGTGTACGCCGACGTGAAGCCACATTAGCAGCTATATGATCAGCAACAACATCAAAATACCGAGAAGCAGGAAATGTTGGATTATCTATTATAGGATATTTCAATGATTGAATACCACTGTGAGGTGGAAATATAATTTGTGGTAATTCTTGTGCTAAGTTAATTACACAAGTAATACCACGTGAAAATATATTTGTCAACTGTCGAGCTGTATTTTCAGCAGTAACAAAAACATAGGGAGTGATTTGTGAAATACTATAATCGGCAAATACTGGTATAAAATTTCCGTTGGTTAATGATGAATTTACAAAGTTGTTCGTATTTATGATCATGTCGAAATTAAATAGTTACAAAAATGCTGGTAATAGAGTAGTAAATGCACATTATAAGAAAAAAAAGGAACAATTTTGGTGATAATGTTTGCTTTGGTTGTTTTGATTTGAAGGACATCAATAAAAGAGAAGAGTAATTTTACAGGTAAACGTCTGTTCGTCTTTGATTTCTTGGTTTTTTCAATCTTTTTTTAATTATTTATACTCCTATTTTCATTTTGTTTACTATTTATGTTACGTTATAATTTGAAATTATAGATAACCGTCATTCATACTCCGAATCAATTACTCTTTCATAATTATTACCATGAGCAATCACGCAAATATTCTTAGTATTTTATATCAAAACACAGTCAAACATACAGATCAGTAGGTGTACTGCTACTGTACTTGTGAAATGATATCAATAACTATTTGTCTATGTCTATTTATTATATATATATTTATATAATATTTAGTAGAATTTCTATAAAAAATAGATCAAATTCATAGTATATATTCAATTCAAAGATGTATAAAAGGCTATTGGACTAAGACCTTCTGCTTTACGACCATAGTAATAAACATTTAATGAATCTTTAGCATAGCCATTGCCTAATGAAATAAATGTTGATGCCATTAAACCATGCATTTTGTCACCTTGATAATAAACATGAAATAAATCTTTTGCATAGCCATCATCAAGTACTTGAAATGAATCAGGATGTGCTCCATTAATAATATGACCAGCAAAACACACTTGAAAAGGATCACGACCATAACCAAAACCGAGGTCTACAAATGACATAGTTCTCATTGAATTAATTCGTTCTCCACGATAATAAACATGAATATCATCATTAGCGTAACTAGATCCGGACATAGAATGGTAAAACATTGTTATATTATCACCACCTGTCGACTTAATGAGCTAATAAAATGTTAAAAGAAAACCGACAAAAAGTATTGATAAATCTTTTTTCTTCTTTTCTCTTGTTTTTTTTTTTTGGTTATATTGAGAAAAAAGGAACATTTTAATGCAAGAACCGAAAAAAAAACAATATATTATAAGCCTATATATTTTAACAGTATGATGTTAAATGAAGACAAAATAAATGAAATCGAGCACAGAAAAATAGAATTGAGCAACAAGGACAGATGAAAAAAATATAAGAAACAGTCATATTCCCTTAGGTAAAATATATACTTCAATAATAACAACATCATTCCAAAAGTATTTTGATGCATCAAAAAATATCTTGATAAGTTATTTAAAGAAATGCAATTGCATCTTCTATCATTGCTTCAAAATGTTGAATAAAAAAAAAAAGAATATACAAATACATAACTTTTTTATTTATTTACATTATTTATCTGTGTTTTTTTATTTATGTTTGTCCAAAATAGAGACGAAATGTAATGTTTTAAAACGCACCAGAGAGAAACAACGAAAAACAAACAGTAACGACATAAAAATAGGTTGTATAATAATGGATATAATATTTTTTTATTCTCTCATTTGAAAATTTTCTACTTTTTTGTATCATTGTCGAACAATAAAACAAAAAAAAAACACTTTATAATAATATGATTGATAAGTACACACATATATATATAAATATAAATACAAATAAATAATACATAAGTCTTGTTTTTTTTTTTATTCGCGATCTATTAATCAATTAATTATGTCTGTACAATCACAACAGTTGATAGACAAAATGGGAAAAAAAAATACTGGCTAAAACTATCTGAATCAATTCTAACGATGAATTGAACATGTGACCGGATCTTTTGTTTTTTTTTTCATATTTACTTGTAAAGAAATCTTGACTAGTTATCTTGTTGTGATTGTATTTGTTTTTTTGGTGGTGTATGTAAAGATTTCCATTCGTCCCATTCATTATGATAAATAACATCAATTGTTATTGAATTTGGTACAGTTACTTCAGCTGTTGTTGTTTCTCCATTCAAACTGTATGTATTATATTCATCATATAAACGATAATAATAATCAGTTGCTAGTTGTGTTATTAATGTTAATGTTAAATTACGTTCATGTGCCATTAAACACACTGTACTACGTTCAATAATTAAACGTAGTTGTAACAAATAACGATATTTAGCTGAATCATCATTGGAAAAATGTGATGATAAAAAAGTTAATAACTTATGTTCTTGTTCATTAATATCAGCATAATCAATAAAAAATCTTGAACACATTAATTTTTCAAGTTGCCATGATGCTATGCCATTATCATATGGACGATAACCACGTGTTAATAAAAGACAATACTTAAGTAAACCACCACCACGTATACGTTCAGGTGATGTTGTTGCAATAAGACGACGATTAAGATGTGTTAAAGCACTTTCAAAACTTCCATAAACACATTCAACTGATATTATTGGTAAATGATGTAATGAGGATAAATAACGATTATTTTTTGTTGAACGATATTCTAAATTAAAAGAACAATAGACATTTTAATGTTTAGGCTAAGGTTTTAAAAAAAAATAAAATGTTCTTTTCTTTCTTTATTCAATTAAACTAATGATTAACACTATTAGATAGTTTTTCTTTTTTTTTTGTCTGTTGTCGTATTCAATACAACCTTTTAAGTGCTATTTACTTTGTAATTGATCTTATTTGTGTCCATACTTTTTGGCTTTTATATCTTTCCTGTGGGTTTTGATTAGTTGTGTTTTTTTTCCTTTATCATATGTGCTGTTATACTGATTGAGGTTCTTCCACCCACTCTATTTTGCGCACGCGATCGGAATACAAAAGAAAAAATAAGTCACTTCTATGCTTTGATTAATAAGTACAAAAAAAAAAACGAAAAAACAGAATCATAGAAGTAAACTACAGCTGCTATTTGTTACATTTTTTTTTCTTATCACTTTCATATCTTTAATACCAGCTGATGCTTACCATGTTGTTGTTGTTTTGACTGATGATGATATTGATAATGCTGTATTTGTTTTTTATTCGTTTGTTGTTGATATTTAAATATTTGTTCATAGTGATCAAGTAATGGATCAAGTAAAATTTGAAATGAATCAACACTAAATTGAAATTGTCTTTTCATACGATCAACAAATTTTAATTCAATATTTTGTCCATTGACATTACATAGAGACATTAATGCCCATGAATCATTATTTGATGGATTAATAACACGTACTACTTTTTCTACATATGCTGCTTGAATAATAATAGGTGAAAATGATAATTGAGAAGAATTGGAAGAATTAGTTGATGATATATGTCGAAATAAACATTCACATACAATTGTTTTTATTTGTGTCCATATTGATTCAGATGATAAATCACAACGAAATATAAAATCAATATCCGAATATGAAAATGATTTATCATTTGTGAGAACATAGGAAGCGGCACCTAAGATAAAAAGAAAAAAAAAAAGCATAAATAAAATATTTATTATTTGATTGATTTTTGTTTTAATTTTATACCTCCGTTGAGACGCACATCTTTAATATCAATATGATTTAAATGAAAAGCTCGTCGTAATTCAATTAAAAAATCTTTTGATACTATATTTAATGTTGGAAAATTTCCTTGACCATGAATTTCAATTGGTTCTTCAAGTATTGAACATAATTTATTTACATGACGATTTTGTAATGTTGAATAACATGTACGTTTATTAATATTATTAGATCCGTTATTTATTTTATTATTCATATTATTTGACTCGGATGTTGATAATAATTTTGATTCAATAGTTGATGAATTTTTTTTTGGTTTTTTATTAAAATGTTGTTGTTGATGGTGATGATGATGATGTGCTTCATTATGAATCGAAATTGTTTCATCACAATTTACGAGTGATGCATAACTTGATGCTGCAGACAGTGATGATAATGGTGTTTGATCAAGTGATGATGGCAATGAAGAAGCCATTGAGTAAGTATCGTCCATAGAACTCATTCGTTTTATGCGAAAATTAATTGTTTCTTGATCTACAATAATAGAGTGATAGAATGAACATTACAAAATGAAGGAACGGTGCTTAGAATGGCCTTCGGGTAATCGTTGAACGTTGGCGAGTGAAAAAGATAGATAGAGAAAAAAATAGAAAAGGAACGAGCTCGATTAATCTCATCTTTTCTCGTTCTCTGTTAGGTTTTTTTCTTTTTTACTGGTACGCTTATGTTTTCTGTATGGTACGCCAGCGCGCCCACGTCGTTGTCATTATTTTTCTGGAATAATGTTGTTAATAACGGAACGTGAAGAGGAGAAAGAGAAGAACGAGAGGAAAAAAGGTCATCAACAAAAAAAAAACGTTCCTACTAGTCCTCTGTCTCTCCGTCACTTTCTCTATGGTGCTTGAATACGAGCCCGAAGAATAAGTCGCCGTCGTCATCGCCATCACTCTCGATCACAATTGTCATTCTGCATTCGCACAAAAGATTTTCCTTCATATATGCGTAGGCTGGCACAAAATTGCGCGCACACATTCAGATATATTCTCATATACATTCTTTCGGCTGAACGCAACAGAAAGAAAAAAAAAGAGTAGATGTTATGCGCGAATTAGGCAATGAGCAACGAAGCAAGCGAAGGATGCGTAGGTGGACAACATTGACAACGACATTATCGAGCGAAAATGGGAAAAGAATAATGATCCTTTTCCTATTCTTTTATTAGGAAAAGACGACAGAAAGAAAATATAGATATGTAGGCGTACTACATTTAAATTAAGAAAAATCTTCTACACATAAATAAAATATAGCGATTTGACTTTTTCTTCTTCTTTCTATAGAAACCTACGTATTTCAGATTGTAACATTACTGTGATGTAATTTATTTATTATTGTTGATCGGATCAAGACATTAGACGAATCCACAGATTAGCAATTAGCCTCCAGAAATAAAAGAAGAAATGACAAAGAAAAAAAAGAAAATAGAAGATAAAAAAGAAAGATAAATAAAAAGCGGAGAGCATTCTAGAAAGACAAAACTATGTACGCTCTAATCACAACATCTCGAG